GGGCCCGGCCGGGGAGCCGCGCGGCAGCCAGGCCAGCTTCATGCAGCGCCAGTTCGGCGCGCTCCTGCAGCCCGGCGTCAACAAGTTCTCGCTGCGGATGTTCGGCAGCCAGAAGGCGGTGGAGCGCGAGCAGGAGCGCGTGAAGTCGGCGGGGGCCTGGATCATCCACCCGTACAGCGACTTCAGGTACCGCCTCCGGGAGGGGCGGCCGCCGCGCCACGGGGGCCCCCCGGGCGAGCCGGTGCGCGGGGGGCCGTCCTTGGAGAGCGCCTGGGAGGGCGGGGCGGGACGGGCGCGTCCGCCCCGGTGACCTCGGCGCCCCCCCCATCGGTGACCTGGGGCCCGCTTGGGGGTGACCTGGCAGCGAACGCCCTTGAGGGGGCGACCCTGGGGTCGGGTACCCGGCTTTCTCCCTCCCTTGCGCGGTGACCCCTGCGCTCCCCTTCCCACGAGCCCTGGCACCCCCGGCCCTGGGTTGCGGACAGGGCGAGGGTCTGATCGCCGAGGGGGGGGGGGCGCGGCGAGGACGAATAGAGGGGAACGTGGGCGCGGGGAGGAGGAAGGAGGAAGGAAGGAAGGGCGCCCGGGAAGGACGCGCCCTGGAGACGCCGGCGGGGAAGGAGTTAAGCGGGCGCGGCGCGCTCCCACGGTCTCCACCTGCACCCCGGGGCACGGCGCGTCCCGGGTCCGCAGGCCTCCGGAGCGGGGTGACCCAGCGCCCCGCCGCGCGTGCGAGGTCGGCGCCCCCGCCCCCACCCTCCCCGGGGCCGCGTCTCCTGGGAGCCGCTGCGCGCGGCGGCCGGGTGTGTGCACGGCAGTGATGCCCCCCCTCGCCCGGAGCCAGGGGGGGAGGAGCCTAGGCTCGGGTGGAGAAGCTTGGGGTCGGTCGGCGCAGGACGCGCGGCCGGGGTGTGTTTGCGATGGGTGGCCAGAGAGGGTGGACGGTGCGTGTCGCCGTGGCAGGCCGCGCGCGCGCGCGCGCGTGTGAACATGACCGTGTAACCAGCGGGTGGGCGGGGGAGAAGACGAGGGTGCGGAGGGGGGGAGTGTGCCGGCGGGTGCATCTGGGGAGGCGTGTCCCCGCGGAGAGGTGTTTCTGGTGGGCCTCTAGGGTACACGTGTCGGGGTGCCGTGCACTCATGCACGGGTGTGCACCGCGGGTAGAGGGGTGCGCTGTGGCCAGGGCATGAGGGAGTGCTCCTGGTGGGGTGAAGTGTAGACAGGACTCAACTCAGCCAGCCAGGCACGAGCTTTCAGCACCTGGGACAGCGCCAGGCCCCGGGAGCCTCCGGGATGTTCCATCTCCTCCTCTCTGCTCTCTCCTCTCTTTCCCCTAGGCCTTAGTCTCCTTTTTACTCCTGGAAGGTTGTGGGAGAGCCCTTTCCCTGCCACCGCCATCAATCCGATGCTTGCCAGCTGAAGGGCCCAAGGAGACAGGAGAATTGTAACCCTGACCACTAAGACTCGGTTTCAGGGAAGGCCTGAAGTTGGGGGATCCCAGAGGTTGCTCCTACATCCTCCCAGCTGTCCCATCGAGGGTTTGGCTCTCTATTCTGTGTGTCTGCTGTGAAGCTGGACCAGAGCGGTCTGGCTCCACTGTGAGGGAAGTCCTAGTGCGAGTTGGCCAGGCATGGACACCAGGGGCATGGGCATGGACTCTGGGTCCCTGATCTTTCCAGCCTTACCTGTGCCTCTAGACGACAAACAAGTCCGCAGGCACTGTGGCTGGCATCGGAAGGCCCTGGGCTTCTCTTTGGCTGCAGTATGTGGCGTGGGTGGGGGGCAGGCAGGTAGGCTGGAGGAGGCTGGGTATATGGGGGCAAGGGAGGCTGGCAGAATTGGACTCCTTTGCTTGGGGGTCTGGAGTAGGTCATTGCCTACCTATGCAGAAGCGCACAGGCCATTGTGGGGTCAATTGGGGCCTCAGTGAGGCAGGAAGGTTGTACAATGTGGGGGTGAGCCGGTGAAAAGGGGAGAGCATGGAGTCATGGAGATTAAATTTCAAAGCTGCCACACTGGCCTCACAACCTCCCATTGTCGGTGCCATTTCTAGAACTTTCTGACCCAGGATGGAGAGAGACACCTCAGGCAGAACACCAGACTGGGTGCTTCACCACCAGGGCTCTTGGGGGTATAAGTGGTTTTTGGTTTTGGTGTGTGTGCCTTGTTTTTGTTTTTGTGCCAGTACTGAGACTTGAACTCAGAATCTATACACTGTCTCTAAGCCTTTTCTATTTAAGACTACACTCTACCACTTGATCTACACCTCCACTTCTAGCTTTTTTCAGTGGTTAATTAAAAAAGAGGTCTCATAGACTTTGCTGCCCAGGCTGGCATTAAGCTCTAGATCTGAAGCTCTCAGCCTCCTGAGAAGTTAAGATCACAGGTGTGAGCCAAGCGCCTGGCTTCTGAGGTTCATTCTTGCCATCGCTGGACATGTCCACTTCTTGCGGGAGCTCCCCGGGCCTGTGGGTAGCACAGACCTGGGGATCAGCATGGAGAAGCCCTGGGAAGTTGTGCTATCTCCCTTGGAGAAGTGAGTGGCAGGGCTTGGGGGGGGGGGCCTTCTCAGGTTCAGAGCCTTAGCATGCTAAGGCATACCTAGAGTAGGAGCAGGTAACAGCAAGGAAGGAAGAGACCCACCCTGGCTGAGGGAGATACCTGTGGATACTCATTCGTTGTTATTTTTCCTCTGTGTGTGTGTGTGTCCCAGGGTTTAAACGCAGGGCCTGGATGCTGTCCTTGAGTTTTTTGTTTTGTTTTTTAACTCAAGACTATGCTCTACCATTTGAGCCATAGCTCCACTTCTGGCTTTTTTTTGGGGGGGGTAATTGGAGATAAGAGTCATGAACTTTCCTGCCCAAGCTGGCTTCAAACTGAGATCCTCAGATCTCAGCCTCCTGAGTAACTGGATTATAGGCATGAGCTACCGGTGCCCGGTGTTGATATCCATTCTGACTCTGTCTCATCCGCTGGGGTGAGCTGGAAGCTGACAGGGATGGGGACTGGCTCCCAGATGGCCAGCAGATCATTGTGGCCAGGCTGGGTACTTCTCACTGTACAAATCCCTGGGTGATGAACTTATGTATCAGGGCATCATCCGGTGGAGATGCCTGGGAAGGGTGAGGATCTCCTGCTGGAGTCAAGGGTCATTCCTTAGGAGACTGGAGTGGGGACCTCTCTCTGCTTCAGGAAGGAGACCTTGGGGAGGAGGTCTATAGGAGTCAGGGTCATAAAGGCCAAGGCCCAGGGATCCTCTGAGGTTTCCACAGCCCAAAGCACCAACTTCGGCATCCCAGATGAGACCCCCCCCCCAAGGCCCCAAGACACATTTCTTCTTTTGCTTTTTTTTTCTTTCTCTCTCTCTCTCTTTTTTTTTTTTTTAGTCAATCCTGGGACTTGAACACAGGGCCTAGGTGCTGTCCCTGAACTTTTGTGCTCAAGGCTAGTGCTCTACCACTTGAGCCACAGTGCCGCTTCTGACATTTTTGGAAATCCATTGGAGATAAGACCTCCCTGACCGGGCTGGCTTTGAACTGTGGTTCTCAGATCTCAGCCTCCTGAGTAACTAGGATTACAGGCGTGGACCACCAGTACCTAGCCCAAGAGACACTATACAGAACCCCTTCCTCAGCCAGCCTCTACTTGAGCTCCATCCCTTGTCAACACACTCTGTGATTCAGGCACAGTGGGGCCTGTTGCCCACCTTTGTGCACACCTCCCTACTTCCACCTTGCTCCTTTGGCCTGCTTGTGGCTGGCCTCTGAGGAAGCCCCATGGCAGGTGCAGGGCCTTTGCATGTGCTCTTCCCTCCCCCATACCATGTCTGTCTTCAGTGCTGTCCCTGTCAGCGGCTTTCCTGTCAATTTGGGCCACAGTACCCTGCCTGGAGGGTCTTTTGCACCATTACATCCCATGAATCTCTGTGGTTGTGGTCTCTCATTTTCTCTGTCCTGTGGGTGCCAGGGACAGGTTGCCCTGTCTGTTTGGGCCCTGGTGTGTGCCTGGCACACACTCAGCCCTGTCTTGAGGACACTCAGAATCTGGCTGGCTTCCCTTCCTGAGTCCCGCCCCCCCCCTTCCCTAATCCCTGACACCTGCCTCAAATAGACTCAAACTCCCTCATGCCAGCTCAGGCCTGATCCTCTGTGCGAGCCTCGCCCTTAATCCCTGACCTCTAGCCTCTAATCCCAGGGATTTGCCTTGATCTGTGATCCCTGCGTGGCCTCCCCACCAGCCTTGCCACTAGGAATGTGGTGGCCCTTGCCTGTCCTCCCATCCCTGACCTTTGGCGTCCAGGACTCAGCAGCCAGGCCTCCCTGCTCCAGTTAGCGCAGAGACCCTTTAGCAGAGCCCTCCCCCCTCCCTCCCCCTCCATGGTTTGAAGAGGAACCAGGAGCACTGTGTGTGACCTCGGCGGTCCAACTCCCTCCGAGTCATCTGTAACCTGGTGACCTCCCTGGATCAAGAGCTCTGCAAGGGGAACCGGGGACCTGTAACTCCCAAGCTCCAGCCCACCCTCTGCTTGAATGGGTTCAAATCCTGCTATAATCCTAGCTGCTGCGGAGGCTGAGATCTGAGGATCACCATTGGAAGCCTTGAGCAAAAAAAGCTCAAGGACAGCACCCAGGCCCAGAGTTCATAAACCAGGACCTGTGCAAAAATCAATCAATCAGTTTCCCCATCTGAGCTGAGAGAGTGGTGTGCAGTGTCAGAGATACTATGAGTTCCACTTCTGCCCAGGGCCCTACTGAGTTGGAGATCCACAGGCTGAGAATGATCTTCCTAGGTGACTGTGGCTTCCTCACTCTGAGTCTCTATGACCTTTGGGAGTTGTGTGGGGACACTGCCAAGTCCTCGTCACCTCTGTATTACTTCTGTGTGAATGTGTGTGTGTGTGTGTGTGTGTTGCAGTGTGTATATGCCAGTAATGGGGTCTGAACTCATAGTTCTAGGCCCTCTTCCCTTTTTCCCATAAGAAGAACACTCTTTTACTTGAACCACAGCTCCACATCTAGATTTTTTTTGCTGGTTAGCTGGAGGTAGGAAGTGTCTTTTTGGATTTGTCTGCGTGGTCTGGCTTCAAACCTCAGTCCTCAGATCTCAACCTCCTGAGTAGCTGAGGTTACAGGCATGAGCCACCAACAACTAGCCTTGCCCTTGGGTTTTTTGTTTGTTTTTTGTCA